CTGGGCCGATTGAGTTGGTATTATAATATAGTAGCAGTCAATGAAATGTAATCAGCAGGATTCTTTGAAATGACCTGTGTTTGATAAGTACTGTAAGAGTGGGAAGAATTAAATTGGGTTTATTTGAGTATATATAGATAATTAACACGAGTTAGTTCAAGTTTACACTTATTTTCAAAAAGTATCGTGCAGTATTTATAAAAATGGTAAATGGTTAATATAAATTTTACGATTTTGTACAGTACTTTGCTGCAGACTTTAAAGAAAACAATAATTTCGGTGAGTACATTTCATTGACCGCTACTGTATATAGAAATTACAGTGCATATGCATCTATTTACATTTTCCAGTTTTCATGAATTTTTGACAAATGTACATAGAAAGATTTTAATTGAAAAAGTTAATACGTTTTTATGTATTTTAAAAATATTCAATTTTTTTCAAATGCAATTGCAAAAAATATCCGAAAAAATGTATGTCCTCTTCAGCGTGATTGAATGGAGCCGACAAAATCTACTCTCTGTTCTGCTCTGCGTAGAATATCAAGCCAATCGGAGATGATTCCTCTATCGTCAGTTCTCTCCCTAATATAAGCCGAAGGAAAATCGATAACGTGCTGTACCAAATACCGCCGTAATAAGGCTAATGCAAGTGAGGGAGCGATCGATCAAACCACGATGCGAAAATCATTCGCGGTGATACTACCGCGCGGAATACATACATTTCATTTCGCGCTATTTCACTGCTTTCGCTAAAATAAATGTTAATTTCGCGATATAAGCGTGTGATGGGGACTGATACGTATATTTTGTCGAGAGTGCCATAATGAGCGCAATGAAATGCTAGGGCCGAAATGTTGTAACATTTTCACTCATTGAATTACGCGGGACAAAGTAATTCGAAGAGGTAATTCTTCGATTAACTCCGCCCACTTACGTCCAAAGAAAAATCAATAAAATCCAGGATTTACTCGCGCGATGTCGACTCACAACCGATACTGCATTACGCACATGCGTGCCGCCGACGCGTCCCGATTTCGCGAACCGACGGCAGCGTCGAGAGATACAAATTCCGCAATTCTTAAACGAGGAGATACGTAAATAATAATAAAAATCCAATTTTACGATGAAATGTTTTAGTGAATAATGCATGACAAAAAATGTTTTAATTGAGAGAGATGTAATTAGGTCACACATTTTTTTTATATAAAACCATGAAGATAGAAAGCAACAGATGTTTCGTTTAAAATTCTCTATGCAAAAATAACTCGCAAAATAAATAATCCGCGAGATAGGTATTATCTTTTCGTCAAGCCAGAATAAAATAAAAACATCTCTTATTGCAATACTCGGTGAAATATCTATAACGATTCAAGATTAATTAAAGAGAAAATATTTAGATATATCACACGTACAAAGTCACACGTACAAAGTTTATTGCTACGACACAAACCTAATTTTTTATTAGAATTTTCTGTTAACTTTATGAATCACTAGACGTCACTTCAACTTTATTTCAAAAAAATGACTTTATTAAAAGATTACTTAATTATTAACTCTCCACGTCTTCATTTATTTATAATTCAATAAAGAATTTTGGATTTTGTTGAAACAAGTGTATGCATGCACTTGTAACAAAATTATTATGTTTGGAATGAAGCTCAGTCTAGTGCTTCACAAAGTTAATTATGCTCAAACAAAAATATATTAAACAATAAAATATTAACACACTTATTCCAATGAAAGATTTTTCACAAGAAAAACGCACAAAAGAACTCAAATTATCGGAAAATTCTCAGAGCGATCGAACGAATTGTTTCACGCGAATTGAATCATTATTATCGCGTCGGCGTAAAATTCCGTTTGTAGAACCCTCAAGGGATAGATAATCGCTCCCTGCGTCACACTTTTCCCCGTACGAGAGAAAAAAAACTTCGCGTATCATTCGTCGCATATCGATGATTTAATTGAAACGTTTATCAATAATGATAGCCGTGATTATTTCGTCAAGTTTAGAAGATAGCGGATTCTTCGCGATGTTGGACAATGCGAAGAAAAAAAAAAGTAGCGCACTTACCGCCGTCGCGCACGCACTTGGTTAAAATGAACTTTTCCGCAAGTAGCAGCTGTATTATAAGTCTTCGATTATTTTCTTACGTAACAAACAAGGTGCGATAGATTATCAGAATATCATCACGTCGGTCGCTTTTATCATATCACTCTCGCCTCCGGTAGCCCTTGATAACGATAAATAGGATTAATGTGTATAGTGCCACGCTCCAAAGCGATTAAACGTGAATTAGTCAGAAAATATTGACGATTGCGGATTCTGCAGAATAACAAACATTGCAAATCACAAACACGGGCATTATTCAGTGTTTACTGAATTCTTAGATAATATGACATGATTTTCTATAATCTTGATTGTGATTAACTTCTTATCTGTATGATTAACTACTTTACCAAGTAATTAATTTACGTCCGGCCGAAATTTTTCTCTATCTTTTTGCTTTTTTATATATTTGTAAATATATGCTGCTGGAGATCTTTAATTAAATTTAATGTTTCAATTTATCGCACTTTCCAATTCAATATACTTTTAAAAATAATTTCTCACAAGGAAAACATTTTTCATGCGTTACTCAATTAATAAAATTATAACTAGACATTAAAAATTGTAAAACAGATATACTTTTTTTATAAATTTCAGTCTTGCTAAGATAAAATAAAAAAAAAAGAGTTTGGATTTGTCCAGATCAATATTAAAAAATACAGAAAGTGGATGCGAGTTGTCACGTGTACAAGAAATGGGTCTTTTATCAGTTTTATCGCTGGACGACACTCATTCGTGTACAATTGTGTGACGGTTAAAATGTGATTAGACAGTAATTATTGTACCAGAAGCGTAATTGTCAAGCAAAACAAGGAAACAATTTATTCGTTACGCTCGCGACAAAATTATTCTCAATATGTATTTTAACGAGCGCGCGCAGTTAATCACTCCGAGCCAAACGTGATTTGTAATTACACCCTGCAGCAACTTTTATACGATCCGATTCTTAATTAATCGTCGAATTATATATGAGCGAGAAAGAAACCGAATTATCGGAATAAGTGAATTCACGCGACAAGATATCGATTACACACGTTTTTAGCAAAAACTACGAGCTGTATAAATGTGAATTAATGCTGACATGATTAATGACATTCTTATTTCTCATTTATCTAATGTAAGCAGAACTATGATCCTTCTCTGGAAAAAAAAACAAAAAATTGTTAGGCGAGATTAAGTATTGCCGAGTTAATTCTAAAAGCGTATTGCATCAATATCGATAAATTAACCGTGATAAATTTTAATTTTCTCGCTTTTTTTTATCTATACGTTACAGTAAAAACTATAATCTAAGAAAGTGTGATTGCAATTACTGACACAAGTTTGTTAATCCCGAAATGATGGACACAATTGCTTCCAAAAAGTAAAACAATAAATAATTTATATTTTTATTAATTATACATTCGATAATTGCTAGCGTTATATCCATAAGTACGACGCAAATTAATGAAGTTCGCGAGATGTGCGCGATGACGATTCGCAAATAAATTAAGAGATCTCCCGAACAATTCGCCACGATTGGAAACGCCGAGTTTCTGTTGACACTACTGGCAACTGGGCAAACATAATCACGAGGAAATCACCGACGTATGAGACGACATTATAGAGATTATAATTAAGACTGTGATGAGACATACGTCAGTAATTTTCACGTGATTGTGTTTGCTCATATGTCAGCAGTATCAACTGAAATTGCTTCCAATTGTCTGTAATAGCGAATTGTGTAAATGAGGTTTTAAATATGTAGCTTTGTTTTACTAATCGTCTCATATAAATTACGTCTCGTTATCTTTTAATCTACGACACACAAGTTTGTGTTTATTATTATCTTTATAAATATTACAAGACTCTTGTTTTATTTTAAAACGTTTAAAAAATTTGCTACGAAAGAATTAATTCTGATTAATTTAAAATGAAAAAATCGTGACTCCATCCTAACAGTATTTATTTTGCATTTATCGAACCATTCTACAAATTTTAATAAAGGACAATAAAAGGACAATATAAACATTGGTAACAATTACACAGCATTAATTACGGAAGAGTACCGTACGTGCTGAAGATGGACACGTGTAAACCTTCAGTTGCATCAATCATGCGAATCACACGTTTCCCCATCGACGGACGTTTCAGCGTCTTCAGCGCCGAGTCAATATATCGATCGGAAAACACTGGCTCGCCAATCAAGAACGTCCTTCTGCTGTACTTACCTAATTAGCCGGATTATCCTTGAACCCCATGGGGGATCCACGTGGACTCGCCCAAAAAAATCGCTTTTCAAGGATTCGATTACGAAGGTGTACTCACGACGAATAAAAAGGCCGACGTGACGCAGACCTGACGATTAAAGCTGCCATCTCCTGGTTTTGCGAATAATGCACAATCCAGCTATCCAATTACCACCGCGAAGAATAGTCGTTACCCTTACCAAGCCAGCTGCGCCTGTTTTTGCTCTGCTACGAACGCAGAGGTTCTCTACACTACGGCGGTTTCCGACGCAAGCTGACGCTGGTTCTTCACTGTATTATCAATCTGGAATATGTAAAAGATCAATGATTTTTTTCTGACGTTCGAAAAAACGTCGAAGAGCTCTTTTTATAAAATTTATTTTGAGCACGCTGTGATAACGAGAATCCGGAGTGATAACTTCCCTTCGAACGGGATGCAGCTTCTCGCATGTATCTACACGGAACGGCATTGGATGATATGATACGTGAAAAAATGTGTGATATTTGTAAAAAGAATAAAAGCACTAGGACGAAAATGGATACAGCGTAGATAGTGTCACGCATGAAACGTAATGAAGTGCATTCATTTTATAGTACACTTACGTCCAACCATTTACAAGATACGCAAAGACGCATACGTCATTAAGACATTCCATTAAAATTTGTAAGCGATAGATTACATAGCTGACTTATCATCAGTTCAACACCGCTCTTATGTTGTTTATAGATTAGATTAATATTTTTCTTTTTTTACGTGGAGATTAACTGAACATAACGTGTCCCGTGGCAATTTTTTTCAAAGAAAAATTACATTGTCTGGATTAGAAAGCTTTTGAAAAATTACCTAATTATTTTAACATATTTAATGTTGAAGACGAACTTTATATGCTCCTAACTTGACACATAATATAGTCCCATCTCAATCATAATAGCACAATTTTTGCTTTGCTTTAAAGTTTCTTTATCGCTCAATTTTTATCTAAGATTTTATAATGCTTATAATTGGTAATTGCTTTAAAATTTTAGCAATATTCCATAATTTTTTCAACAGACAACTACGTGACGCACGTGATATGTTTTCTAATTAATAACGAAAAATACCTACAAAAACAACATTCCATAATTATGAATAATAACTACTGTTGATTCTTGAGTCGGTGAACGTGTTTATAAACTTAAAATATTTTAGAAAAAACAATGAACTAACAACAATATTTATCTAGTTAGGAATGTAATCCGCGTTATTTTCCGTGGAAAAGTTTTAAGCGTGAAATATCTTTCCGCGTAATTCTTACGAAACTTTGAGTTTCGCGGCATCAATTAATGCTTAATATCTTTATTAATTATACAGCGACAAATTATACTTGCCGGATGCGCGCAAAGGCTCGGAACAAGCGTGACAAGTTACTGTTCGCATTACAATAAATACAAAAGTGTCATTCCGCATAAGTTGCAAGGAAATTTAAAATTTTTCGTCTTGCGAGCTTGTTTCCATTGGAAAGTTTTGTTTGATTTTCCTGTGGAAGGATAAATATTACGTCAACACAATTCCATTGATTACTCTCGTGACCGATATCTTTATTGTTGTAAAAGGAAAACGATTTTACTTTATAACTTTCTCGAGTACCGCTGATAGTTTTTCAGACTTGGGAAAAAACCACGATATTATGTCATTCTATTGAGAAATCAACTTATCACAGTAGCACAGGCTCTCTCCGTTCTTTTTATAAATTAAAAGAATTAATTTATTTTCTAATTATTTTCTGTTTCAAATTAATTAAATCGCGTTGAGTTAAGAATTTTGAATAAAATATACATTTATTTCCGATATATTTAAATTTAATAGTTTTTTCAGTCGTAATAAAAACGATTAAATTTTGAATGCAAATAGTCGATGTTTATGTTTCAAATTGCATTTTATATTTTCTAACATTAAATATTTCAATATAATCTTCTTTATTATAAATTTAAATTATTAAATTTATGAAGTTTAAAAACAAAGTTTTATTTTAATCATTTCTGTGTGTGTTAACATTAATTTTATATTTATATTTATATTATATTTATATTTATATTTTATATTTTACATTTATGTTTACTCTTACACGATTAAAGATTAAAAATATGGCTGTATGTGGAACTAAACTTTTCAATATAAAATATTTTATTATTTATTCGATAGCAGAAATGTTTTTGCCATGTGCAATATACATAAGAATTCCCAGAATGTTTCGTAACTCCCCTCTTTTCTATTATTTTTTGACGAAGTAGAGTTTTTTGATATGAATTTTGTGAAATTTTTTGGCACCATTATATTTCAATATAAAATATTTTAAGAATTAAATCTGTCATTTATCTGCCATTTATCAAATCTATGTTAAAATGAAGTTTATTTCAAAATAATTGGAAAGCATGAGAGAGAGAGAGAAAGAGATAGAGAAAATTCGTCGCTCAAATATATTATGGAAAATTTTATTATATATTTATCTATACATTTTTTATATTCATTTTTCATCACGCTATTTCTTATCAAATATCTCTTAAGTAAGATATCTTTTGATTTTTAAAGTTATATTGCAATACGTCTTACACGTACAAATTGCTTCTTAGCGTCTCATTTATGTAATATTTAATTCGATAAAAAACTTATTTGCAATTATATAATTATTCAAAAATTTAGAACTTCTCTTGCAAAAGATTTATGATAGTCACATTTCCTTCTAATCTCGCTGATTAATTTCCGGAAAAATGGCGATAACTTGGTACTTTTTATGATAACTTTGAAGCAATAAAAAAGTTAAATCAATATGCCGATTCAACAATCGTTATTTTATCAGTATGTCTTATTACGAGGAGAAATTCCAGACTTTATAAGTGTGCGTATTATCGTAAGTAAGTTAACGTAAAGTCACGATGACAATTGAATACTGCACAAATTATATATATGCGCATGAAAATGCGCAGTAATAACTCTTCATTTAAATCACAGACAATTAGCGACAACATGCTTGTCTATTTTAAAGTGCAATATAAACACAAACACTTCTGATTATATATTTCGTAAGATTGACAAGCACAAAACTAAAAAATAAAACTAATGATATGCGCAATATACAGAAACATTCGAAGCCTCTTCTTTAATTATAAGTTTTATTCGAATATCTGTCGCGATAAGAATTATAAAAGTATAACAAAAATCTTAATATATAAAGAAAATTATAAATCTCTTTAGAAATAACGCCTATGACCTTTTTATAGTATTTGTGCATAATTTTTTTAGCGACGATTTAATCTTGAGACTACGTCACATGTTGCCGTTTTGCGTCAATTCTCCTACCCCGTTGTTTTAGAATTTAAATGTTAAATGTTACGAGCGAGAGAAATAAGAATTATGACAATAAATCTAAATTAAATCTAAATAAGTCGTAATCTACGTCATATTATTTGCGTCGATACTTTAATCTGTGACCGTTAAATAACTCATCGATAGCCTCAATCATAATCTGTGTTATCGTCGCGAGATACTACTGCGAAAGAAAAATAATACGTAAGACACACCTAAGTAGCACCTGACATTTTCGAGTACAGGTAGCGTTTGCCACTTTAGAACAATGAGATAATGACTCAGTTAATGAAAGTTGCGTTACATTAATCGCATTAGGAAATGTTAAACTTTGCTACAGAAAACTATACAATTTTTATAAATAAGGGAGAACAATTGTATAAATTTTAGGCAGTGGGAAAAAATGGAAAAGCAAAAATTAATATTACAAAATTTATTAATTTTTCTAATAACATTTTATAATATACATGTAAAATGTTATTTACATCTCTATCAATAATTTTCAAAATTTAATAATAAATTATATCAATACATTATTATGTTTAGTGTGTGATTAATATATTATTATATTGTTTTAATTTAATAATATATTATTATGAATTAGTAAATGGCTATTAAGCTATTAAGCTAAATGGCTATTTTTTATTTTATGTAAGCTCTATACGTAGAATAATCTTTATATAAATAGAAAAGATTACATGTCTTATTGAAAAACTGTTTATTAATTATTTATTTTTGTGATATTAATTTTATTTATAGCTACAGTATAAAAAATTGTTAAAACAAATTCACATATTTCTCTGACAACACTTTAATGTGATAAAAATGTTAATCATGCTCGCATATTTGCGACGCTAAAATAGAATATTTATGCCGTAATCTGAAAAAGATCGTTAGAGAAAAATTTTGTCACGATAATCAATGAATTATTTAATATGAACAAAGGATGGTTCCATGAAGTATTTTTTCTCATTTATGACAGTACACATGCTTAAATAATAATTAACGAAAGAAAAATGTACGGTAATCGAAAATTCGCGTGTTAGGCGAACGTTAATGAGATTGCACGAACAGGAATTATCAAGAACTATCAAGAACATAGAGCAACAATGTGTTGAAGCATGTAGGTTATGGATGAACTACTAAAAAAGAAGATAAGTTATTTATGAGATTTAGCGTTCTTCTCGGCAAAACTTGGATACTTATTCGATGATACGCTACTACTAAGGAAAATAGAAAAGTTTTTCATTGCTCGTTCGCATGTTGCCGCGCACTTCTCTACATCAAGATCTATTTGCAGCTCAGCTGCAGAACGAGAAGCAACGTCTTGAATTATCTACAACCCGATCAATGTTGTTATTATTAAAACAGTAGTTGTAGCAGACGTCAGTGCGAAAATGTTCGCGTTCGTCGCAATGCGCTTCATATATTCGCGGGTTTTGTTCGAGAGCCACCCTGCAGTTCCTCGAGAATTTCCTGGGAGGATTTTCCCTTGGTTTCCGGTATGAAGAAGTACGTGAACGCAGTGGCGGCTACCATTATCGCGGCGAAAATCCAGAACGTCACGTCGGGCCCTAATCCTTCCTTCATCGCCGGGAAGGTTTTCGTTACCAAAAACACCAGCAACCAATTCAGCATCACGGCGAGACCGGAAGCGATCGCTTTGGTTTCCGTGGGAAACAATTCGCCCATCAACATCCACGGTATGGGACCCATTCTGCGCGCAAATATAAAATTATAATAGTTTTTTTTATAGGTTTTAAGCATTGTTGCTATGATTTTTATAATTTTAAAAATATCCACGATTTATATAACGATATTGCAAAACTTACCCAACGGAGAAGGAAATTATAAACAACGTTAGAGATGTGAGCGGCAGCCAACCAAGATTGCTGACGTCACTTTCGTTTGCTTTAAGATTGAAGTAATAACCAAGAGCCACGAGACTGATCGCCATAACACTTGAAGAAAACATTAGCAGCGGCTTTCTGCCGGCACGATCCACGATCAGAGCTGCTACTCCTGACATTACTGTCTGTCAGAAATAATATTTCATATCAGTATTATCATCCACGAAGATTAATAAAATACGAGAAATTGTATGCATAATTCACACAAAGTTAGGAACAAATTAAAATTAATTCAAGGAGTTTTTTTTTTAATTCTGACAGTTTCGTCTCAGTAAAATGCTTCTCAATACGTAAAAAGTATAAACATACCTGAACGAGTGCCACGACTATCGAGGCGACTTCCGCAGGCATTGCGCTTCCGGATGCCTTGAAAATGGGGGTCGTATAAAAGATCACCGCATTTATGCCAGACATTTGCTGGAAGAACATGCCGCCGAACGAAGCGAGCAGAGCCATTCTGGACGCTCGGGTGCGTACAAGATCGAATATGCTCGACTTCCTCGCTGCTGCCTGCTCGGTTTCTCGCTGCATTTGCGCGAGTTCCTCGGATGGATCGTAAGACTCTCCTCGGAAAACCGTCAGCGCCGACGTGGCCTCCGGTTTCCGTCTCTCGTTCTAAAAGGATCCAAGATACGTGTAAATTATATTTGACAATATACGAGAGTGCACAATTATAACAACGGAGCATTAATTAGAGGAGCATTAATTAGAGGAGCATTAATTAGAGAAATATCTGACGTACAATTAGCCAAACGGGAGACTCCGGCATCCAAATAAAGGCAGCCAAGAAGCCGACTTCAACGAGGGCGCATATTATAGCGAACACCGTGTAGCTCAGCACAGCTCCGAACACAAAGGCCAATAAGATTCCGACCGTGAGGAATAGCTGGAACATAGCACCGAGAGTGCCTCGAGACGAGATCTCCGCAATTTCGGAGATGTAAGTCGGTACGATGACGCAGGCCGCGCCGACGCCGCTGCCAACTATAAATCGGGCGACGTAGATCAGCCACAGCTTCGAGGAAAATATAATGATCACCCAGGACAAAAGGAACGGCACCGCCAGTGAAAGGAGCGATTTCTTCCGGCCGAGTTTGTCGGCCATCGGTCCGGAAACCAAAGCGCCCAGCATCGCGCCCAAAGCCAACAGCGAGCCTACCCAGGATCCTTCCTCTTCGGTAATATACAACCAGGAATCCACCTCATACAGCTGAGGCAGCACCGGAGACGTCCAGGCCAAAGCGGTGCCGACGCCGACGGCCATTAAGCAGGCTAAAAGGATTCGAACATAAAACTAATTAGAGAGAAAGCTCCAGAAGCTTTATTAAAAAGGTTATTCGAAACCAAATTTGACTGAGTTTGAAATGGCGAATAGATAACACGAACAATTACTTCTGGATGGAATTTAATCTTAGAATCATGCAAATTACGAAACGGAAAATTATTTCTTTGACAAAGAAACTTAATATATTTGCTTTAATATCGGAGAGTCGGAAATTTAGAAACTTAATATTACATTTATTTCTTGGACATTTTATTTCTTGGAAAACATATATTTGTCTCTCGTGTTTCTTGACGCTTAGACATCTAGGTCAATTTCTGATATGATAAAACACGTATTATCGACTCGCTATTCCACGATAAAAGATACATGGAAAAAATTTCGTAAGCCCCCGGCTATTTTTCGTCGTTTTTTATTTCATTGGAAATTCCCTCCTTAAAACAACTTACGGCGCTATATTTCTTTCATAGAATAAAGCAAACATCCACGTGTGGACGTTATCGTACAATGCAATAATTGTGAAATAAGTGTCTCTCATATTTTGAACACCATGATTCACCATATGCGGTATCTTTAGGAACGATTATTCGCGATAAGAACAGCGGTCGAATTATTATATCGAAATTGTGTCTTAATGATAAAAGCCGCCGTCGCGAATAGACAGTGAAACACTATGACGCGTCGGGGATGAATTAGGTCGATTCGCGGAAAGCAGTCGCACGGCACAGCAAATCCACTGTTCTTTCAAAATCCCGGACTTGTCTCTTGTCGTGTGTCGAAAGTACACCCGTATAAATTACACCGTTGTATTTCGCAAAGCGACAGACGTCTCCATTTCCTCGTCTGAGTGCAAAGTGCGGCACTTGTTTCAATAAAATATTACGATCGTCGCCGAGTTCCAACTCGTAAGAGCGAGATACGAGCTTATTCGGTGAGATTTTGTAATAATGGAAAGCCTGAGACTACGAAGATAGAACCAGAGCTACATATAATTCTGCCAGAAAGTTAAGAAACTTGGAAGACAGTCTGCCAGTGTAATATTGCCTTTTATGATTATACTTGTGCAGACTTTAATTAATATAACAAGCAGACACACGCGTGCGCGCACACATCTAAGATGTGAGTGCATAACGAAGTCAGTGTGTAAATCCACTTTGCTACATTCTAAAACTGAAACTAAAACTACTCTAAAGTTAAGTAGCCGAATTAAAATCTCTTTGTATGTGTAAAATTATAATACAAACTAATTATAAAATTATGCAAACTAATTAGTCATTATACCGTATTAACATTTTAATTAATTAGAATTATATTAATAAAACTCTTTGCGATAAATTATCAAAAATGATACGTAACATAATCGTTTAGTAACGTTGGAACAAGCTTTTTCACGTGATTTTCAAATGCGAATTTAATTTCCTGTTTTATTACATAAATTACGTAGATAAATTAGCTATAAATGAAAACCAAGTGCCAATTTTGTGATAATACACATTCGTTCACTATATATCATTATTTATTTAATTGATTTATTAGAGAGATAATTTTCAATAATTAAAATAATTATTTATTAATAAGCACATCTGTTAATAAAATTTTCTGTCTGCCAAAAGGAATAAATAAGGCTTAACCATATTATCGTTTTTTTTTGTTTTTTGTTAAGGAGTCCGAGCTTTTGATAGATAAGAGAACGAAATTTTTTAAGTAGATTCTGCGGATAACGTAATATTTTTTTGCAGACTGTATCAAGATATATTCTGTTTTTCGCATTTGCGGTTTGATGGTCTTTTTATCTTTGCTTTTAATCTAATTATTTCACAAATAACAGAGAAATAATACAACAATTTTATTTCACAGTAATGCAATTTCTAGAATATTACATAAAATTAATTAAAAATGGCATATTAATCAATTATAGTTAGACAATAAATTTATTCGCAATTATGAAACTTAAAATTTGTTTCTTTCAATCAGATTAACTAATTATGAAATTGATAGCGCATGATAATGATAGCATAATGATTATCTCATCAGTTCGACGCGTATAATGTACATGTAATAATTTGATATTTGAACAAACGATTATTTTGTGACGAAAATAGCTAGCTGACTTTTAAAAAACAAATGTTTGAAATAAAGAAATCTACTAATCTTGTAACTAAAAGATAAAGTTAACAATTTATGAAATTTTATAACTTTCTATTATTTTTGCAATTAAAAATTTCTCTTTTATTAAACTCTAATTGTGCTATTTTGCTAACATAATTATTTTTTCTGCTATCTTTAATTAATAATTAAACTGATATTACTCGTTTATTACCGACCTTTAAACTTTTGCATTCAATAAATAGAGATACATATTTTTGCGAAAATATATAAAAATGATACATATTTTTTTATTAATTAATTAAATTTCTACTTGTTATCGTTTAAAAAAAAGTATTTTTTTGAATGAAAAATGTGGATAAAAATATAAAATGCAATATATAATGCAATAATAATGCCAAATATTTTAATATTGGATATCTTCTATATTAGAAACATTCGAATTAAAAACTAAATTGCACAAATGCAGAAACCATATTAAACATTATTAATGATTTATATAATTTGATTCATTTGCTTTATTTGCTACATTTGCTACATGCAACTGGATATGGGTAATGTGTCACACGCTCTTCGAATAATATGTCAATTCGTAAAGGTAAATTCAATTCGTTCAACGTAAACAATGAAAATGGAATCTAAATATGATCATTGCGTTTGATACGGACTGTTTATTAAAGAGCTGATGCGCGTAACCAATTTAAATGTACATGCATCGCATTTCAAATACGAGTAAAGTACCATTAAATGATGTATTAATCGTAATGTTTAAACAAATAATCAGGAGAATACGATATAAATTTATCATAATTTCCACCCCGTGATAAATTCCACGCTTCCTCCGACCAACCATACACCTAATTCATAAAATATCACGAAGAAAGTACAACGACGAACACTAATGTACAGCGCGTAGTTGTATTGAAATACCGGAAATAGATGCGAGGTACTGCCACAGCTTCCTGCCTTCCTGGCGCGTGGAAACGCCACTAATCATCCCGGTGCCCTCCATTTTCTCTGACGATTAGATTACTCTTTCCAGAATATTAATGCGAAGATTGACACTCAGCGACGGTATCGTCGTCCCGCAATCACCCTTAACACGTCTTTTTCTGCTCGATTTTTCGCCGCAAATGACGTCGCAGTTCACTAACGATGAGGAAGAGATGCTAGGTACATTTCGAACAACGCGAAACACTCGTACGAAAGCGAATGGACGGTCCGTTATCAAAGGTGTCGTATATTACCGACCGTCATTATCTAGTCACCATTATCACTAATCTACCGCTTATCTTGCACAGAAAATTGAAATAAAAAAAAATGTCGAAATCATGATAGATAGAGATCGACAGAGCGCCATGCGACGTCGAAAATCGGAGAAAACGCGCGACATCGACACGCGGAATATTGCCGCGGAAATCTCCGACGTGAAATCGCTTTGATATATATATATATATATATCTCGCCTCCGGCACATTTCCCTATTTTATATAGAATAGAGAAGAATTAGAAATTCTTTAGATCGCTCGATCTCCGTTTTTTCCATAATATCCTGATAAGTCAGAGTAGGACTGAATGTGAGAATTAAATTCCAGTATATAAAGAAAGTTTTCTCGTGGAATGTTTAATACTTTAACAAGAAAAGTACACAATAATCACTCATAATTAATTTTTATTTACAAAAACTAAGAAAATAGAGAGAGAGAGAGATCTCTCGAGAGAGAGAGAGAGAGAGAGAGAGAATGTACATACGATAACAAAAAAAATATTTATCTATCAAATATTGGTTGATCCTATATTGATAAAACTATTTTTGACGTTGATATAACAGAGTTTATCACATAATCTAGTATTTTTTTTAGGAATCAAGATTTCTCTCACGCATTCTTTGCGACAAAATCCTCATTAATCTGCAGAGCTGATAAAAATTGTATTAGGAATAGCAGTCTTGTCAAGAGATTTACAGTTTGTTACTTTCGCAATAGTTTATTTTGCTTGTGCAAAGACGTGCTTTGAAATGAAATAACTTTCGATTCCAATTTCACGTTCGTTTTGATCTTGTTTCAAACAACAAAATTTTTTCAAACCATTCTTTGTCGACTTTATTGATTTTCATTAATCTGTAAAATACTAAAATACAACTGAAAATCATGCCAGAGATGATTTTTTGCTAAGAAATTTACAATTCGTTACTTTTGTAATAGTTTCTTTTACTGTGACATACGCACAGTACAAAAATATTATTTATTATTAAAATTTGCACGTGCTCTACGTAAAATATTACTCGTTAAAATGGCTTTTACGAATAACAAGCTAACAAATTTATATAGGGCAAATCAAAATATTATGCGAGATGATGTATATGTTTGATCTTCTCATTAAAAACAGAAAATGTGCAAGCGGCAAATAATAATTATTTTATTCGACAACGAGTAAAATTTACAACATAAATATATGCGCATTTGGTTTTATGAGCTATTTAATAAACAAATGCATGTAACAAAATCGGAAATTGTCAAGCCACATGTATAACGAAAGCGTTCAATTTTCACAAAATGAAAAACATTCAACACGAAAAATATTCGACGGATTTGCAAAGAGGGAGAAAGAGAGAGAGAAAGAGAAAGAAATAAAAACTCCGCTCCAAATGTGGTCGCTTACTTTTAGCGGAGCGCTTTGCCTCCAGTCGTGTGACAGACACTTCAATCCGATTTCAATCGCTGGCAGTGCGCAGTTCTCGATTTTCCCCGCCGTCGCGTCGGATTTCACGTTCAACACACGTTCTCCACCTTTTCCATCCTTCGCATGCTCCCCTTCGCATATCCGGACAGAAACAGGTCATCGACGTAAATTATTGCATTCCCCTGGCGAGAAACGCAGCTGGATGTACCTGAAAAGCGCCAAGTCGCGAACTCGCTGAACTTTATTATGCCATCCCGCGCATTTCATTTTCTAGACCATTATTAAGATTTTTCTCTCCGCTCTCTTTTTTCCCTTAGCTGTCATTTTTCTATTTCAATCTAAAAAATGTTGACGCGTCGTGTTCGCGCTGCAAAAATTACTTTTGCATCGAAAATTGCTTCCTTCTTACGTAATGATTATACGAAACGCGTCTTATCTCGGAAAAATAGACGAGTTGAAAAGACTAGCAATGCAGATAGTGACATTATCTAAAACCAATTACAAGTTGCCGTGGAGGCATGCAAGACACAAAGAGATTGTAATACAGAAAAAATATAAGCAAAAAATATTGTAAAATTCGTGGAAATCGCTGATATAACATTACAAGAACATTCAGGAACAATCATTATTCATTGTACATTAAATCGCTCGTAATACCTATAAAATGCTTTTTAATATATAAATCAAGATACACTAATCTCATTAACTGTTTTATCGGAACTTTTAAGCTGGGTTGAGTGAAAATGTAATATTGCAGTTTTATAATTGAATAAAAAAAAACGTGCTTAAAATTATTGCAATCTAAGCCCCCATATCTGAAGTCCCTCTATCTTCACAAAATTTCCGACTGATATAATTTAACACGATAAAAATTTCATTGCAATACATAATTGTAAACACAGAGAACGTATTATCCAATTATCATTAAGGTTATCATTATCAGTTACTCATTCTCCAATGCAGAATTTTAAGAAATCTCGAGCGACGTTTGAGGAAATTTTCTTATCAAATTAATTTATTATTAACGCTCGATTATGTTCGACGCAGTTGGCGAAATCTTCGAATCTTACAATACATTTAACAATCAGGTCAATCTATCGTAGAATATATTATTATAGTACGTAACAAAATTATTCGTGCCAGAAACTTTTGTCGCGCAACTTGTCACTTAATGAACATAAATTAAATCGTTCACACACAGAGCAGAACAGTAACCGCGCTGTCAGTCACTGCAACGTGGATTAACGTGGCATCATATTGTCGAGGGTAAATTTTCAGTGACACGCATTTCTCTGATAAATCACACACTGTATCGAAAATCCCGGAAATACTTAATGAAGAACAATTTATTATCCTTACATTTCCCACAAATGTGACAATGTTTCTAAATCCAAATAATACCGCGTCACTTTACTGTAATTTTACGGTACATTAAAATATGGTTATTTAATAAAGGTTTAAAAGGAAAAGGATTGATAGATTGTAAATTAAAAAAAAATTTTTTTACATAAAATTATAATAAATATCATTTTATATGTTATAATAATCATTAAAGATTTGCTATCATAAAGTTTTCTATCTAATTTGAAGTGAGTATTAAATTCTCCAGCGCTCAATAAGAATTGCAGTAAAATCACGCCGACATATCAGTTCTATTTGATCGATATCGAAGCGCGATTGTATTTTATCTGCTCGCGGTGAAAACGGCAGATATCTACGTATATGACGTTGCATCTAAGAAGCTGTATACCTTATCGCGATTTTCTAAGCAAAGAGTATACTTCGAGATTTGTTTAGTGATTAAATCTTTTTTTTTTCAATGCTACCTAATCACGCTACGAGAGCAAATAGATCACTTTACTGCAATTATCAAAATAAAAATGCATTTGCGGCAACAAGAGCTTTTCCAGAAAAAAGCCGTGATTTCGATACCTTTTAACTAACTTTGCTTTAATAATATTATGTAACTGTAAAGTTGAAACATAATTAACTATTTAAACGTGACTTTATCTTTGTAAAATGTAATTTGAAAAAATCGATAAATTATGGCTCCAAGATATCGCAAATGTGCAAGAAAAAAATAACATAAATAATAAATAAATAATAGACATATATCTTAAGAATTATTTACAGGATTGAAAGGTGAAGGCAAATGAATAAATTCTGATCTCAAAATATAATATCCAAATTTATTGCTCTGGAAAGAAATGATCTGCTCTTCGCACGACAAACGCGAGCAGTCTTATTTTCGACGTGTCAAAACTACGAGTTACAATATACGCTATATAAAAAAAATTAAACAAAAATGGAAAATCTCTCGAAAAAACGCATAGACACTACAATGAAGTCGAAATTGCGCATAGGCACTGGCGAGAGAAAGAGAAAAATATGCGAGTTAATAGTCATGGAATGGTTTTCGATAAGCGGCAAGGAAAGCGGATTATCCTTACAAATAGAGGATTTACAATAAATCGCGCCGTCGTGTGGTTGAACTCGTGTAAGTGCATATTCGCGGGTGCGTAATAATTGAATAATCACATAACCCAAAATTTATCTAATAAATGTGCCATCATGAAAATGAGATTATATTTATTTAGATTGTAGCTCCAACTAAAAACTCGTATTTTTTTTCGACGCAATAAAGTTCTCGCTTTAAACTCATATTGTACTTGAATTGAATTTTTATTGATTCATAATTTTAGGTAGAACTTTTATTATTTTAATATTTTATTATATTAACCTAATTAATCATTATTAATATTAAAACTAGCTTAATATAATATGATCGATGGAATCATTTTTAAATAATAAAGTTCCACCTATACATAATACAAAGAGAAATAATGAGAGATTCTACATTCAAAGTCTTAATCCTAAATGTAAGAACTTCCACTGTTATTTTTTAAAAAATTTACGAGTTTTTAATTAAAATCTTGGATTCTTGAATTTGTGAATTCACCTGTAAATTTAAAGATACGGATCCTTCAACGGATCTTTCAAATCATAAATTGCTGAAATCAAGTTTCTTAAAGATTAGAAAAAATATCCGCATCACGAATATTGCACTTAGCAAAAATTCAATGTCCTCGCGAGTGTACTTTATGCAATTAATTGTAAAAATAACACGATGATCATTGCAACGAAATAATGATCGATGCAAAGAACATCGGATTATTATTAAGTATCTGTCGTACTGAACACTGCTTCTAATAACTCATAATAATGCGTCAGTAGAATCTCAAGTCAGAGAAACCCGCTTTCGCAGCGTACATTTAACGCCAAGGCACTTGATTCTCATTCTTAATCATTCAAAGTGCAACTCAAATTCAGAGAGGACAAATGAGAGACTATACCGATTATCACGTTTAGCGTTAAACATGCGTTACGAATGTAAGTAGTTCTTGCTTTGTCTAGAATTGTAACGTGACACTGAAATTCGAAAACGCAAAAACAATACATCCATTTATACGCGTAATACGTATTTTTCGCGTGCCTGCGCTGAATGTGATGATTTCGAATTTGCACTAAACAAAAATCCGTAGATTACGGATAAATAAATAATAACTTTTCGCGAAACGAAGCCAGAAGAATTTTAGGGGCTACGAGATAATAACACTCATTAAGCAAAATTATTTTTTCCTGAAAAATATTTATTTACTTATAAGTGACAAATTTATAATAAGGATAATGCAATAACCTCCTTACCCCTAAAACTTGGAAAACATATTGCAAAAAATTCATAATTTATATTCAACATAAAAAAAATGTATTAGAGATCTAATCGATGCATAGATCTCCACCGCGGAGATATAATTTAATAAACGCGAGAACCACTTGAACGGGTTAATATTACTTATCAACGCATACTCATGTGTAGAACACTTTAAGAAAATACATATATCACCTTACGCACTAATAAGGCCTGTGCTTTAGGTATTTACGTCCCGATTCATCATCGCACGTGTAGCATGAATAATGCGGATGTTCAGCTTCGAATTCTAATAACGAATGGTCACAAATTATTATTACACTATTAATAATTGATCTATCGTCAATACGAATGACTTGAAAAATGTAGTATTAACATAAGATGAGATTCGGACGATTGCGTTTAGCTCTAAATGCGCGGCGCGAATGCGGGAGCTTAGGAAATACCTTACAATTAGATTAACTCACTTGCTTATCACCGTGATAACACATTGACGCGCGTGCAGCGGATGAGCGCGCGCGCGTGCAATGTCACTTAAAAAATAAAAAAATCAACGCGTCCTTCGTAAAACGCTCGATCGCTGTTTTTTATTAACTTACCTTCTGGATTAAAAACGTGCTACCGTAAAATCGTACGAAAAATGAGTGTTTCTTTTCGGTGCGCGTTCCGGAGAAGAATCGGACACTTGAACTAACCCTTTAACTCTTCCGCGACTTTATCGGGATTGGATTTTCCAGTGGATCTTCTCGGACCATTAAAGCGAAAGGTCCCGTGAATCCCCGCGAGTTATCGGTTTCTCGTGTCTCCGACAACTTCAATCTCGGGACCGTGTAACGAAGCCCCGGAGACTCCTCAATTCTAATCAGATCCACGAAACTTTGGAACTCTCCGATGTAAGTGTCCAAAATTCTTGCACCGCGCGCGCACGTAAGAATTGCATTCACGCAAATACCATACATATTCTCGCGGAAAAAGCCATTACGGAGAGGCAGGATTAAGCAGAGCGCTATTTAGCTCAGCCACGCGGAAAAATTAATTTCTCGCCTTCCACTGCGGTTGAACTATTTTTTCCCCCCCCCTACGTAAAACTAATTTCACGTTACATTCCACTCGAACAAACTACTCGCAGTGGGGAATAAAGTAAAGTTTTGGACACTCGTTACGCAAAAATGTCGCGAATTTCGCAATTTGCTGTTATTTGTCTTGGAGTCAAATCAATCCCGCGTTATTTTCCATTAGAATGAAAATGGGGAAACGAATGAATGCGTAGAGAATGACGATTAGGCAGTCTGTACACACACACACAAACGAAGGAAAATTATTGTACGTACATATATCTCTTCAATCTTCTGAAATCATCGTTTAATCTATATATCTTTTTTATCGTGTAAATACTTAAATAGCTATTACGAATTAATTATTGATGAATCACCGGTTAATCACTCGCGTGTACAATACTTAATGAAATGAACAGAACATTACGTGATGATTTTGAAGTTATTATTGCGAAATCAGTAATGGCGAAGCAATCGGAACACCGCAGGAGAGCCGGAAAGCGGTCCTGCGTCTACGCGGAACCTCAGTCTTTATCATACGCGTCGTTTGTATGAATAGAAAAATTAAAAGTACTCTCTCTCTCTCACTGGCTCGTCGATACGCGTAAACTACAATTGAGAAAGAAAACGAGAAAAGTCGTAGCACGTCTCACGATAAGACATACGCAGAAAGTCATATCTGAAGCAAGATTTAAGGACTCGCACGCTTGGGGTCACACGTTTCCGCCATACGGCTGAAAATATGCGCGCGCGCATAGAATACGATATCATCTACATTTAATTCGCGTCGATGAAAGAAATCGTTACACCCCATATTCACTGTTCGCATTCGACACGCGGATATCAAGGATGTCGGAAAGTAATCCAAATCCCTAATTTTTCTCAAGTTCGCGAAATTTATTCTTACATGGGAGATCATAAATCATTCCTTGAGTGGCAGCAGCTCTAAGGAAAACTCAAGGGATTTTACGTAATTTGGAATTGCGGGATATTAAAGCCAAAAGATCTCTGAAACTTAAGCCACTATTTGAAATCGCGAGATTTGGAAATCATGAGCTCCGCAAAAATTTTATTCTTGCGTTATCGACTTCAATCCGGAATTCTGAATCTTTCGAAAAATTAAAATCACGAATCTTCGACTATAATTTTGACCCTCAGCTCAGTAAACGGTTGAGACGTTCAAAATATAGATCAAATTTTAAATTTGACAAAAAATCTTGAATTCGCAATTCTACCGGGATTCAATCGATTGTTATTAGCGAACTTGTACTAAATTATTGCGGGCAAACATTGTTCTACAATTCGCGGGAAAGACAGACTTACCTTTGAAGTGTCCCACAGCGAAGTGCGAGGCTAATAACAAATTTGGGAGTTCAGCGGGGTGCTAATTCCCGATTATTTCCAGCGTCCTTAATATCGCTGCGAATTAATTCGCCCTTGTGTGTGAGATCGAACGGAAAAAATCGCGCTTTTGATCGAAAGAAATATTTCCACGGACTGCGAGTAAAATATTAAGAACGGATCAAAAGCGCGATGAGAAGAAGGGTTAATGGTGCTTCGAGTCGCTTAAATTATATGTTTTATCCTGCGACACGGGCGCAGACCAGTCTATCGCATTAACCTGAGTCAAAGATCAAATCTTAAGCAGAGTATTGTACAGGAAAATCCACTTTCCGGTGTCGGTCGTGTGCACGAGCTTGTATCTCCGGCTGGCCATTTTGTCAATGAAGTTCTTCGTTTCCGCCTCGCTGTGATGGGGACTCCAGCGTATCGACAGTATCGATATTCTTATGATGTCCCAAGGAATAGTGTCGAGCACCTGCGATAATTTTCGCTTTTATGATGTGCTCTGCATGCGATTTTCATCGTTGATTGCTTTTTTTTTTATATAACTTTTTGATAGAATCACATTTTAAGATATGTTTTTCCGATAAAATTTTCATTTCACAATTGACATATGCGGTAAATATTTCACGCATATATAACGTATTTAAATCTCGAAATGGTTGTCGTAAAATTGTTTCCGCTCTTTTTCAATAAAACTGGAAAACGCGATAAAATCATGCGTAATGAAGCAAATTTTTAGTTAAAAGAGGGAATTGCAAAATTATTCGATTATTTCGAGAGAAACGGTAAATTTTAATCAAGGTACTGAATTCATATCATTTACCTGGCCATCAGGAGCGTCGGGGCTGTCCAGATTCAGGTAATCCAAAGTAGTGGCGTTGTACGCTAACAGCACGCTGTAGAGAGGAAAACATTTGAGTCTGGTGGTGGGAAAGCCATCGTCCGATGATACGAGGCTATTAGGGCCGTCGCCCAGTTTGGTGACCTGAACCTCCGACTCCTGGTGATATTTTATCTACAACATCACATCGCGCATGTGAGTGAGCGATTCACGCTTGTTTCGTCATATCGACGAATATGCGACTCTCACCTCTTTGGTATCCGTATCCGTGCTCAGACAGGCGTGAAGAACCCGCGATCTCGGATTTCTGGTGCTCCTCTGCGCCTCGAAGAAGCTCCTAGGCTCAGTGAGTATCAGGACACCTCGCCAACTCAGGTTGGACTCGAGCCAAGCGGTGCTAGAAATCGCACCTATCTGAAAGACCGGTATGACGCTTAATTAAGTAACGAATTCGCGATAGGAATCGGGAGATAAGTCGAGTTTAGCGCCGGTCTGATTCTCGCCCTTTGCGCCGAAAAAAGAGAAGATAGATCAGAAAGCGGAGAGATACGAAGTTCAACTATCTTGTTCGCCTACTTTTAACCGGTTGCGTGTCGGCGGTAATTTCCTAGTTTTGCGTGCTGCGCTAATATTACGGCGTACTATCACGAGTGATAAAGAATTGTTAGTGCAAACCGACGATATCTAATGCAGGCTTTTAAGACTATTAATATATTTATAGTTCGCTCTGATTTTAAGTGGAAAAATTGCAAAAAAAAGAGCGCGCAAGAAATATTTTTAATGAGAGAAGTTCAACTCTAAATTCTTCTGAAAGTACGTTTATAAATTTTCAAGCATATCGTATAAAATACTTCGCAAATGCTCTGAAAGGCCTAATATAAATTTCGTATAAATTCGGACAAAAGTATCTCGAAAATTTTAATATTTCCAGTCTCCACAGTAGTTTCGGAGAACAGTTTAAAACCGCTGATTTTAACTCCGATTTTAATTTTACTTGTTTCTAGGAAAAAATTCCGAGGCGGACCATTATTCATTATAACTTTTTCATATCCGGCAATAAGTATCTTGACGATATTAAATGTGAAAATCTAAAAGAATAAAGTACACTCGAATCGAAGCGAACTGTAAAGTTCGGATATTTAATTACATCCCAGAAACTTGGTTCGTCAGAAGCTATTCATCTTCAGCCACTTATAATGCGAAAATTACTGATACCGCGGCGATTTAATTAATGAAAAATCCCCCTCCAGACCGACCGAAGATTCTACCGCGGTAGTTAAGGATTTATAAGAACACTCTGTGTGATACAAACCATTCTTCAATGTCTGTAAACCGCAAGTTTCCTCAAACAAGGAGAAATTATACCGTCATATCGAAAGGATGGGGCGTCCGATACGCGCAGCGGTGGACACACGGGACATTAATCATGCACGGGATTAAAACGGTAAATTTCTCACCCTGCTGATGTACTCCGCGTAGATACCTTCGCGCTTGCCCTGCGACAAACTGGCCTCGTACTTTTCCTCCGACGTCTGATTGGCGTTCAATGGATCCTGATGAGTCGTCGGTTTCAGATGCACCTGCCGTATGTACGCGACCAATTGCGGATTATCCATCGAGACGCTGTCGAGCACGTAGTCCCTGGTCATGTTCGCGTCGAACGCCTGTCTCCTGTAACGGAACGTCCGCTTTAAGTTGCACCAGTGGCGCTCAATCTTGTCTAATTCGAGACGCGATCACGCGATCCTCCCATAGTGAGGTAATAGAAACGCAAAGCGATAAATTTCCACGTGCCGAAAACCGCGATTACTTTTGCGTAAAATTGCGAACCGCGCAGCTTTTTTGCAGACGATAATAATGAGATTTTATGGTACGTGAGATTGGAAATTATTGCAGAAGTTGAATGGAATAGTAAAAACTGAGCGGGCTTCTGGTACCGTTTCATAAAACTTTGAAATTACTTCCACATTTTTGTATATCTCTCGCTTTTTAATCGTGCATAATCACACAAGGCATCATTCTTTTTCTAACACTATAAAGAGCAAATCCTATTGCAAACTAAAAAGATTTTTCATAATATTAAAATAAGTGAAAGAATTAATGTTATTCCCATGCCTAATTTAATGCAACTCTGAGTAAGTGATTAAAGAAAATATTAGCTCACCTCAAGGCCGCGGCTTCGCTCCAACGAGAAGCAGAGCCATGGCGGTGGAAAAGCGGCGAGGAAGGCCAGGCAGGGGGCCACTCTTCTCCACCAGGTCCTTTTATAACTTGCAAACGGCGTGGTAGTAGGTCCTATAGACGGTGGCAGAATTCCGTTTGACGAAGGTACCCCTGCGGGAGCCATTCTGTGAGAATAGAGCGAACGTGTGAACACATGTTGCACGCAAATTATGCAAATGGGACAACCCAAGGAGTTGTAGTCTTAACAATTTCACAGTCTTTTGTCGCGATATTCTATTCCACTTTCGAAGGTCGAATCCCTTGCAAAGAGACAAATAGAAATCTTCCAGAATTTTTCAACGATTTAAACGGTTTCAACCGAACTTGAATACCCGCGAAATCGCTTTTTCAGCTACTTCAAGGTAATTAAAGTAACTGAACCGATAAGGCATTAATCGAATTATCAGCAGGTATCAGTGGATATTACTAGAATAGAATATTATTCAATCAGCAACTTAATTAATAATAAGTAAAATCTTGCTTCGCAAATTAGCTTGCATCGGTGAGTTCTTGAAGAAAAAAATTTAATTAAAGCTGGCGAAAAACAATTTAATTAGAAGTTTAATTAAATTTATTAAAATTTCAAAAATTATGGAAGATAATAGCTTTCCATTGTATTCCCGCTGAAAGGATTTTCGACTCAAAAGAAGCTATAATAAAAAATATACACAGATTGTCCGGGACACCCTATATACATAAACGCGAAGGTATACACGCATGAGTCACCCTGCACTTTCTAACGAGCATTTTTTCAGTCACGTTCAAGTGAATGCACATCTAAGGATTCAGACAAAGGAAGACCCTCACAGATCGGTTCATCACTCGTTTGTTATCTGTCACGAATCATCCGTGCGGCCACTCCGCCGAATAAATATTCAGTTTCGATTGCAGTTTCGTTTTTTCCTTACAGATAAAATTTTTTATATTTTTATTTAGTTTAATAGATTTATCAAAATTTAATAAAAACAAGTATAGCAATTATTTTCACCATTTGTCTCTCAAAATTATTATTCAATTTATTATTATTTATTTAAAACAATACATTCGGCTTTAATAAAATAAATATATTGAGCAGCCACAAAATAAACAAGCACTTGAGCAATAAACGATGCGGTCCAAAACAGTTGATTTTAACAGAATTTATAAAAATAGTTTTCCATCGTATGCCAGGCAAGTTTGCGTGCGTTATACAGCACGGAATAATGTTTGCTCCGTTATTTGTCTCACACTGTTAGGCGAGGTTTGCTATGTTGCCGGCACAAACTTTGCGTCACTTCGCGAGGTTCGCCACTAATTTACTGCAAACTTTTAGCGAAGGCAAAGCATAGCAGATGTTCGCCGTCAAATTCGCTTATCCAAATTAAGACAAACGTTGCTTCTCTCTGTTGCGCGATATATTTCACACGAACAATTTCGTAAGTAAAATAAATCTTTATAAAAATCTCAAAATATCAAGATTTTTTAAGCTTTTGGCAATAAACAAACTTTTCGGGATTTAAGTTTCGGAATTTAAATCACAAATAAAGAATTAAAACTTTCTTTCCGCATATAATTTTAAGTAAATCTCGTTTTAATGGTATTTAAAAAATAATATTTGAGATTTTTTAAGATTTAGATAAAAATTATGCAAAAAATTGCATTCGATCGAATCACCGCTACGATGAAATCCGCTCAGAATCCATGAAGGAAGTCTATATTAATCGCATACCGCGAAGCACTGTATAACGTGATTCTGACACGTTCAGCCATTCGCGGATACATCTGTCCGCAGCATCTACTCACTTCGCTATCACCGGCTCCATGGTGACTCGTGTTCTTCCTTACACGCGAGATCGAAGCTTCGACGACAACCATTTATATCTCCCGTCAACACACACCGCGACGTTTCGCTCACGTGCGAGCGCTCTACATCCCTAGCGCGTGAGTCCGGTTGGTTGAAACTGCACTTTCCCGCACCGATATATGTATATATCGTCGTATTCCTCGATACGCCGATGTGCCGATAAATTTCACGTCAAAATCGCGAGCCCGTCGCGAGCGTCACGCGCCCCGCAATATTTGCCAGCACCGGTTAATGCTACGTCACGTGGCTCGACCTTCCCGCCTGTTGTGTTTGTGTTGTGTTATGTGTTGTCAGATCGTTTCCCCCCTCTGCTCGTTCCGCTTTCCCCGACGCTGCAACGTGAAATCTCTCTCGACGAGCGTCAGTAGGAGAGAGAGTGATTATCAATCGAAGCTGAAGCGCGCTTCCTCGTTGTTCTTTTGTTTCTATTGAAAAAATCCGTTTGTTGAGGCAGTGTGTAACAAATTGAATATTCGATACAGTTTCCGATCAAGCGACTTCAAAATGTGTTTTTCGATGAGCAGTTGGATTGCATAAAATCTTTAAAAGAGGTATTATACATACGCATAATTTCTTTCTTTCTCAGATCTTCCAATAAATTGAATGTCAAATAGATTGAATCTTCAAAATGTAACTCATTTTGCATTGATTGAAATCTTCAGATTTTTCAATGTGGCTTGAGTTTCAATAATTTTTCAGTCCAATTAAACAGTTATTGAATGCTTCAGATATAGCGAAATATCTTCTTACGCTCCACTTGTGTTTCTTGACAGAAATTAAAGTCTCGAGAATCGCGAAAATAAATTAGCCTAATTGGTTCTCGAGTCTTCTTGAATGACTGCAAAACTAAAACGTTTTTCAAAGAATAGTCGCTGCGATCTTTTCCTCGTTTCGCTCTTCTTTTCCGTGTGTATTTTTTTTTATCGTACAACTGTAGCGGAGGATTCTTCTCGTGCCTATCTCTCGATCCACCTGGATTTTTATAGAACCGACCTCTCGAAACAGCACTCACTGCGATCCCTTCTGGATCTCCCTCATGTATTTATTACGATAGATCCCTGGAAGATCTTCCACGTGTTTCTCGTCGCGATTAGGATTCTCCGCGGGATCGACATTCCTCAGAGTTTTCCACAAATTTTCTTTCTCACTCCTACAGCAGGAATCGATGTACTCATCGTTCTCACCGAGATCGATTCACTCGGAGTCTCGCGTTGCTCTCCCGAGGGTTCTCCGATCCATCCTAAGCACAAACGTTCCTTTCGCTTTCGTGAATCTTCTCCCTTCCCCCGGAATGCAGTCGGAACTCCTTCTCCCGCGGGGATTCCCCGGCGGATTCCCGGCGAATGAAAGAGACCGACAAAGACGATGACGTGTCGCGCGTTTACTGAACGCGGCGTGATTCGCTTCGCGTCTTTATCGCCCGGTCGCCGACTTCCTCGGCGACGACTGCCATCGAATTTATACATATATCGATTCGAGCGAGACGACAACGACCGTGCGCGAACAAAGACAGGCCGGAGTCGTCGGGGCCGCGGCGCGACGCGACGCGACGGACGAGCACTCCGGAACGCTTGTGTGGCGGCCGTCGTGCCGAGAAAGCGTGTATCGTGTATTATGGTCGAATGTCGCATTGCAGCGGCGGCGACGTCGGCGGTGGCAACGGCATACACGATGATGCCTGGCCGCCGCCGCCGTCGCATCTGTCGCCGTCCGTCCTCGTCGCACGCTCGCGCCCGACCGGCCGGTCTCCGTCCCTTGCATTTCCTTGACGGGACTTCTGTTTTGTCAGTGCCGATGGGGCCCGCGAGGGCCTTCTGCGCGACAGCCGGCGAGCGACGAATACGAATACGCGAGGTGTGCGTTGAAAGAGCGCTGCATAGCGTGTAGAATGTGCGATATAAAATAAAGATTCTCATTGTGTCTGCTTTTCCTGTAAAAAAGGTTGGACAACTTTTGTGTTGCAAATTTGGGTCAATTGCCTGAACTTTTTTTTACTTCAAAATTGCAAATTTGCAAATTATAACTGTCGACTCTCTCATATGCGTTTCGCACCGCCAATTTAGAATCGCAAATTTCGGCAATTATGAAGTTTCTTCATACGGTTATATCCGCTCGTACGCACGAATTGACGTAACAATGTATGCGTAACACGTAAGAGGTACGATATAATTGTCACCATAAATTATCATTGTTTGACAGAATTTCTACCGGGCGCCTCGCTGGCTGGGACACTTGGAAGCTATGTTTATCCAAGTACTTGAAGTAAATTTGTTTACAATGGCTTTTAGAGTGCACTAATGCGCATATAAATACATTCAACTGAATTCGTCGACAGACACAGCCGAGAGATTTATAGTAGATAAAGTATCATACAAAGTTAGCAAACTCTCCGAGATAGTAATATGTTTACCCAACTTCTACAGACACACTAACTTCTAACACCTTCACTTGTTTAACGGATCATTCGTAACTGTATATATTCGAAATGTC